CCTCCACTACTGTTCCAGTCATGAAAAGGGCAGCCAGTTGCTGTTGCGTGCGAGATGAATGAGGGGTCATAACTTGACTTAATGATCTTCCCGAGAACTGCTTTTGTTTAAGAATCCATTTGGTTTTAGATGATGAGAGAGAGAGAGAGCAAAAAACAAAACCTTGCTTCTATCTGCAGGCAGTCACACCTCAGGCTCTGAGATCTGAGTTAATTTGCCCATCTAGGGCATTGCTATAGGGACAGAACTGAGCCCAGGATGGAGCAGCCATCTGGGCAACTTAGCGCAAACGCCCACCCCAAGTAATTCATAACTCCAGTGTGAAGAGCAAGAAGTCTGTCAGATGGTACAGCAATGCTTTGGCCAAGCCCAGAACTGGACCCTGGCTCTCCCTGATCTGCTGCCTGCTAATGAGCCACTCGCCCTTTGCATTTCCTCAGAGTTCAAGTAGGATAAGGATGCAGATTTCTAATTTAACTTTCTTCAAGGCTAGAATGAGTCAGCAAGAGGCCAAGAGTGAACTCCATGAAGGCAGGCCCAGTTTGGTAGAGCTGGATGTCTACTGGTAAGAGGAAGAACCCCCTCTTTTGGTGTTGAAGAGGTTGTTTGTCACTTGGTTTATGGATGTTCCTGCTGTTACCCTAAATTGCAGATTTTTAATTTTATGATTAAAAAGAAAATGGAATGAAAACAGATAATATCTATACTTTTCTTATACGAAAGTCACTTGTAAAGTGTTCATCAAATGCATAATATTCTTTAACCTTTGCCTACCCTTGCAGTATGCCCAGACCATTTCCTTCTGCTGTCCACTGTCTCCAGTGGCTCAGGAAGGCAGGATGAGTTTCATTCAAGGGTCTTATTACCAGTCAGACCAGATGCTGCTGTTCCTGCTATGATGGGGAAAGAGAAGGTCCTGGACCCCTCTCTCTTCTTACCCACCTCTCTTCTTACCCACCTTTTCCCCCATCTCCCCATCAACAGACACTTTATTTGATACCCAGCACAAATAATCATTACCCCAGAGCTTGCCCCTCATGGTGGTCTCCTCAGCTTCCTTGGGTAGAGTCTGTCTGTGTTCCTATGGAGAGGCAGTACTGTCTGGTTGAGATTGTAAACTCTCTGAGCTCCTGAACTATATTGTTCTCTTAACTCTGTTTAGCGTATAGCTGGAAATGGCTGCGTTTAGGAATTTAAGACAGGCAGAGCTTTCTGACTAGAAATGATGCTCAATACTAGAACAGGTCACTCAGGTAAGGAAATTCTGTTTTCATCCATCAGTAACAATAGCATGATCTGTCAGTCAGGACTCTGAGGTTCAAGTGTTGTTCTGACCAGGGGCCGGGGAATAGATCCAGGTGACCTTATTGCTTTTAGGAGGCCCAGTGGAAAGTGTTTCAAAGGCAACCTAATACCCTGGATATTTTTTCTCCCTCATTAAAAAAAAATTTGCACTTCCAATTTTCAGTGTCTATAATGTGCTAACGGGCTTTCCTCCCATTAAAAACACGTGTGGATGTGAGAATGTTCTCCTTGAAAAAAGACAGTCTCTAGGGTTTTGCTTCTGGCTTGAGGTCTTATGAGGTAGGTGTTATGAAACCTCCCCCGCAGCAGGCTGGAGTGCCAGCAAACCGCAGCGGGGGTCAGAAGCTCTCCTGCTAATTTTGGCAGAGGGAGACACTCAGCTGCTTCGAAAGAAAAAGAAGGTAATTTTGTTGACCCATCTGCAAATCAAGATAGAATGAGTTTCAGACCTGGGCACATGTTCATTCTGTCTATTCCATCTACCTATCTATTCTGTTAGGACAAAAGTAATCCAAGTTCATGTTTCTCTGCCTGAGAATGGTTCTTCCCATCCTGGATTATGGGGGCATCTTGGAGAGCACATCCAAAAGGAAAGAAGGAACAGGGCCAGATGGGGGTTGGTGCCAGGGCACATGTGCCAGGCATTGGGTGGCCAATGGCAGCATGCCAGCCCTGGGTTAGGATTTTGAGAGGGAATCAGGAGGAGGATGAAGAACGGTGGATGGGTAATACCTGGCAGCTGGCACTTTACAATTTAACAGTGGCCACTGTAGGATCCTGGAACAAGTTGTTTAGAGGGCACACCCCTCAGTTACAGAGTGCAGGAAGACTGATGGGGGGGGGTGCTCTTTGGGTTCTCAAAGGAAAGGATAAGATCAGAGCTATTCTAAGGCACCTTACATCTCCCACATTCCATGATTCTGTGATTCTGGGACTTCCCTTTGTAGCAGGGTCAGTTTTTATTACTTTAAAAATTTTTTTTAAATTTTGGGGGGGGTGCTCTTTGGGTTCTCAAAGGAAAGGATAAGATCAGAGCTATTCTAAGGCACCTTACATCTCCCACATTCCATGATTCTGTGATTCTGGGACTTCCCTTTGTAGCAGGGTCAGTTTTTATTACTTTAAAAATTTTTTTTAAATTTTGGTATCATTAATCTACAATTACATGAGGAACATTATGGTTACTAGACTCCCCCCATCACCAAGTTCCCCCCACATACCCCATTATGGTCACTATCCATCATTGTAGTAAGATGTTATAGAATCACTACTTGTCTTCTCTGTGTTGTACAGCCCTCCCCAGCCCCCGCAACACATTATATCTGCTAATAGTAATGCCCCCCACCTTTTTTCCCCCTTCTCCCTCCCTTCACACCCATCCTCCCCAGTCCCTTTCCCTTTGGTAAATGTTAGTCCATTCTTGGGTTCCATAGCAGGGTCAGTTTTATACAATTATCTAAGAGCAGATAGATCTTTTGAAAAAAATTTTATTGTGCCCAGAGAATTAAATTACACAGCTAAAGTCCACTTACTGGAACTCACTGTGATTAGTATGCATAGTTTCACAAGCCATGATGACTTCATGCCTAAGTGAAAATTTCACATTCCTTTGGAAAACTGTATTTGTGTAGCCAAATCAGCAGAAAATTATCTTTGGCTGGTTGATGTTATTTCTACACCACTCTTTTTGCCTAAAAAAATAACCACTCCAAGACTTAAACGTGATGGCTGAGAGTAAGAGCCAGTGTCTACCATTTGCTTTCATGATCTCAGGAACTACTCCAAATGTTTTACATGTACACTCAGTCCCCAGAAGAGCTCTGTGAGATGAGTAGGTACAAAACCCCATTTAACAGATGAGGAGATTGAAGGTTAGAGAGATTAAGGAATGTGTTGGGGTAGGATTTGGCTTTGGGTCCAGCAGTTAACTCTGAGCTCTCCTGTGAACCATCACTCCCTTCCATCCTCCAGCTCTCCCACAGTAGAACTGACTATCCTGGGCTGCACCCATCATACTTGGGTTGAATTAAGGGCATGACATTGTGGAGGCAAGAGAACTGCTTGGGGTGTCAAACATGAACAAGGAGCCTTAGTTTCCATTATGTGTAAAATGGGTCAAAAATATATATTATACCATTAAGTAGATCACTTATTTTCTGAATACTGCTATTAGGAATTAGACACTCAACAAGATCCCTAGGTTTATAATTCTCCATCTCTATCTAACAACAGCAAAATCTAACAGTGAGTGCTGAGTCTATCAGGCATCATTCAAAGTTTTTTTTACATCTATTAATTCATTTAGTTAATAATCCACTTAATTAATAATAAAATAATTAATCAATAACTAACAGTAATCTCATGACATAAGTACTGCTCTTTTCCTTATTTTCTGGATGGGGGAAACAGAGACCCAGAGTGGCAGAGAAATGAACCCAGGAAGCAGCTGAGCCAGGTAGTGAGCCTGGCTTTACCTGTCAGTCTAAACTGCCTCTCAGCAAACTGCCTCACAGAAGCAAATCCAGAATATTTGCTTCTGTGACACAAACAGGGCTCTCCATCCTTAAGGGTGGAACAAGGCCACACGGAACTGGAGGCTGAGGCATGTCTTCTGTGACTGTGTAGTTGAACTGGGTGACGCAGGTCAGTCGTGTCTTTCTTCTTTCAGCATCTCTTTCTAGGGATGGAGCACGGGATGCCTCCTGATGGTCGTCTGTTGGAAGCCCGATTCATTCTGCTACATGGCATTCCATTCTTGACACTGTCTCCTGAAATAAGAAGGCTCAAACTTTTCTGTCCTTTTATACAGAATCTCAGTGTTTCAAGATTATATTTGCCCATTTCATGTTCAATGAATGTTACAATGGGTCTAAACATGGTATTCTAACTTGCCTGGTAGTGCTTATAGAAGGAAACAAGGCTCAAAGAGATTGTGACTTCCCCAAGTTCACAGGAAACTGTTAATTTCTTGAGGTCAAAGGCTAATTTACCTGAGCCAGTACTCAGCTGGGACAGACCAATGATCCCAGCCTGCTTCCATTTCTGTCCTTGGAGCTTGGCAGTGGGTAGGAGTTTTGTCAGATGCACAAAAGCCATGCAGAACAGAGATTGGAAAGAGAAACTTGGATGTCATTGCTCACAGAAGAAGAGCCACAAATGCGGGCAGGCAGGAATGGCAGGGCCCCCTCCTCGCACCCTGGGCCCTAGCACTGCCGTAGGCATTCGCCAGTGTTTGATCACGAATGAGTGGATCCCTAGTGTTCTTTAGTCATGGTCCACATTCAGGCATGGAGAGATCCTGGGAGCTGTTGAACCTGGGGAAGGCCTCATGGGGGAGGCTGGGCTCTAGTTGACTTGAGGAGGACAGCAGACGTGGGGAGGAGGAGGGTATGTGTGTGGAGGCAACTATGGGCAAACGTGGACGCACCTGGAATCCTTAACTTATCAACAGGTACTTTTTTTTGACTTCTGCAATATCTTGTATGCTTTCCAAAATCACGAACTGGGGAGGGGTTTTCCTCACTCAGCTGGTGCCAAGAGAGCCATGACATGATTCTTGCCGGCTACCCTTCTGCCCCTGTCGGCCATTGCTTGCGGACCTCAAGTCTATCTTGTTAGCCATTTTGATTTGTTTGCGTTATTCCTGACTGTGAGCCATGGTGTTTGGGCTCACCCCACCGGGGTTTCCCTTCCAGGTTAACATGTTTGTTGAAGGATTCCACGACGCTATCCTCCTCTACGTTCTGGCTTTACACGAAGTACTCAGAGCTGGTTACAGCAAGAAGGACGGAGGGAAAATTATCCAGCAGACTTGGAACCGAACCTTCGAAGGTGAGGATTCGGTCTATAAGGCAATAATGCTCTGCACCTAATGAAGCTGCTTCTGTTTGTCTCTCTTAAAACTGTGGGCCTTGCTGGTATCTTGCTTTTCTCAGCTGTAAAGTAAGGATAATAAGTCAAGATCAACCCACCTACAGGCTTTTTGTGAAAATTAGATGAGTTAGAGCTTGAGAAAGGGCTCTGAAAGAGTCCCGTAGAAATAAGAAGTGCCTTGTCTCCTGGTTGTTAGGTCACAACTCTATGTGTTTTAAAATTAAACTATCGCAAGTCTCATTCACGACAAATAATCAGTTTGCAAAGAGTTCTGTGATCAGCTTTAACAGCAATAATCCCAGATATACATTCTTCTGTTCAAACCTGGTTGGTTTGAGGTGATGAGCAGGTCCTACTGAGCCCTCTGCTTTTTACTTTATTTTTAAAATAGTGAATATCAGCTGTGGCTTTCTTAAGAACAGAGAAGTATAAGAACAACAACAAAAAAGTCCATAATCTCATCTCTCAAGCAACCTCTGTTGACATTTAGACATTGTACAAGAATGAGCCTATTCTTGGCTGGAAAAATCTAAACAGTACAAAAATGTACAAGATGAAAAGTGAAAGTTTTCCTTCCCACTCTAGACCCCTCTCCCCAGTGTAATCACTATTAACAGTTTCCAGTGATTTGGCCTAAAAATATTTTGTGCCTTCTGCCAGCACATATGCATGTGTATATCTTATCTAAAAAATTTACACAAATGGAATCATACTACGAATGCCATTCTTCATCTTAGCTTTTTTACTTGCATGTCAAATAGAATTTTCCACACGAGCACTTATAGGTTCAGTGCATTTTTAAATGATAGTTCTTTATTTTTCCACCGTGTACAAGAAATCTTTAACCAGTCTCTTATTGATGAACATTTCAGTTGTTGCCAGTTTTTGCTTTTATGCAAAATGCTATCATGTGCATCTTACACATCTTGATGAATTTTGTGAGTACATCCAATAGGGGACATTCCAGGTCATGGGATATCTGGGTCCAAAAGTATGTTGGTGCCTTTTAAAGTGCATTAGATATCTCCAAAAAGCTTCCTTAAAGCTCTAGTAGTCTATATTCTTGCTAACAGTGTAGTTTCCTCTTATCTCACCAATACTCAAGAAAATGAACATGAGACTTACTATGAGAATTATCCAGCTGCTGGAGCCCTGCAGATAGCAATTTCATATTCATTCATTCACAAATAATCTTGAGTACCTACTATGTTCCAGGTATTGTTCAGAGTGCTGAGGATTCAGCAGTGAACTAAAGATGTTCCCTGCGATCAACTGAGCTTCCATGGTAGTGGTGGGATCTTGTGATAAACAAATAAACACAACATCTTAGGGGCTATAAAATAAAGCAGGGTAGGGAGATAAGAGAGAGAGGGTGGGGTGTGGTGGGATTGTGGACTTAGAGTGGTCAGGGAAGGTCTCTCTGATAGGTGGCAGTTGAGTAGAGACCCAAGGGAAGTGAAAGAAATTACATATATGTTTAGGAGAGAATATTCTAGAGAGAGCAGCAAGCAGAGAGACTCTGGAGTATCTCATCCTCTAAAAGCCTCCAGAAGACCAAGGCGGCCTGTGTGGCTCAGGTAGAGCCTGTGAGGGCCGGGTGATGAGAGCCAGCTGGAAAGGTAGTGGGGGCCAGACTGTGCAGCCCGGGAAGCGTCACTGAGGATGTTGGGTTCCACCCTGAGGAAGGTAGAAAGCCACGAGAGGCTTTCGAGGAACCTGATCTCTCTTGAGTCTTTAAAAGGGGTCTTATGGAGGCTATGTGGAAAATAAACTGTGGTAAGCTGATGGGCGTCATTGGAGGACCCCTGACAGAGTACAGATCGTAGGACCAGAGGTCCGGGCACCTGCCTCCTTCCCTCACTATGACCTCAGTCCTTTGGGCTTCTCTTCTGTGGATTAGTTGGTGAGAGATAAGGGCCCTGTCAGTTCCTCATCTTGCTAACTCCTCCTGTGAGCCCTTTAATGCACTGAGGCTATGCCTGTATTTTTAATCCAACTAATGAAATTTTTGAGTGTCAAGAACAAGAAATGATGAGTCCAAATTTAGGATATACATATATATTTTCAATTGGGACTCCTATCCATTCCACTGCCTCATCCTGTCCTTGGTTATTAGAAATGATAGGACAGTACAGAAGGATCAAGTCCTAGTTAGATAGTTTGGGCAGCAGCTATTGTGACAATTGGTGGATTTCATTTCTCCTTGGTGGTTTTAGTGAATGCCACATCTTTCTCAAAAGTAGAGTGTCATTTGCTTTATTTATTTATTATTAAGGTATGATTGATTTACAATCTTATGAAGGTTTCACATGAGTGACATTGTGGTTACAACATTCACCCATATTATTGAGTCCCCTCCACTGCAGTCATTGTCCATCAACGTAGTAAGAAGTGTCATCTGCTTTAACTTTAGACCAGTTATAGGACATTAACACACATGCCTCCAGAAGTGTTTTGTTCAACCTCTGACTGCTTCAGCTGAGGAACTGACTCCAATGGGATAATTCAGGGGGCATATTAGGACAGAGTCAAATTTCTCAGCAATGGATCCCCTACCCTAAAAATCTGGTGTGTGTGGACACAGCCTGGGTAGGCCCATGCCCCTTTCCTCCCTCTTCCTTATTGTGTGGTGTGGTCATTTGTTCTTGGTCTTCTGACGGAGGTTGTTAAGGGAAGGGCAGGTGCCCACAATGGCTGGAGTTCAGTTTTGTTTGAGAATATGGGTCAAATTTTCCCTAGGTCATCTTGATGCTTCCATTCTAAGGCCAGGTCTGTACAGGCAATATGCGATGAGCCCCCAAACAATCAACTATACAGTTCAGTATAAACTTAAAATTTCATGTGTCCAAATGTAAAGATAATTGAAGCAAAGGAAAGTTTTGAGCTCGAATTGTTTCGAGAGCCCATTTCATTTGCTAAACAATGATCAATCTAAGGGTTGCTTCCAAAAGAGCTCTAAGAAAAACCTTGACCTTCCAAAACTAAAAATGATTTTAATTTTAATGGTTCCTGAAAGTGACCAAGAAGTTGTCAAGAGAAAAATATTCTGGATGTTATTTGACAAATTTGGGTTTTATTACCGTGAAACCTATGATTAACTCTCAAGTCTTTCAATAAATGGCTTGGGAAGAAGCTGAATTTCCTTTCTGTGTGAGAGGTCAGGGTGATAAGGAAAATTGGACTGTGGCTCAAACTCTGAGGTCCTCTGCAGGCCAACAGAAATGAGGGTGGAACATCTCATTACTTATGTACAGGAAAATTCTACCGTCAGCCTGACAATCTCACCTTATGTACAGTACTCACAGGTGAAGTCTCACTTGCTAATCGGCCACCCTGAGGGTTCTCACCCCATTTCTTGGCAGAATTGTAATAGCTTAAAGTGTAATGAGGTCTTGGATTACTAGGGCCACCTTGTCTTATAAAATACTCTGCAAAACTCGTAGCAGAGTAGACTCATCATAGCACCTCTGAACAGAACAACTAGTTTTGAATAGCCAATATGGTTGGAGATAAAAATATTTTTTACAAATGACATTTATTACTTAAAAGTTGTATAGGCTGTCAAGGATATAAATTTTGAGATAGGTGTATCCTTTGTAACCAGTCTATATTAAGAAGACAAAAACATCAAGATGAGTAGTAACTCCATTCTATTTCCGTCAAAGTAGACCGAAGTCTGGAAAAAAATCAATGGGCCTTCAAACCACAACCCAAAGGACAGTAAACCCAAATACTTGCCATCTCCAAACCACACTAGAGGATGGAACTTTCCCTTGGGAACCCTTTTCCCAGACATTCATTTTACTTCTGGAGAGAAGGAAATCAATAGAAACACCAGTTAATAATTACACTGAACTCTATACCACAGTTTAAAAGGAAAGAAGACAAATAGCCTTATGTAATTAACATGTGGCTGACATATGCATTCTCTTACTTAGTTAATGGTAATTATAATATAGAGATATTTCATATCAATGATACACATTTGCTTTTATTGATCAGCTGCTCTAAGCCCCTTTGCTGGATGAAGCAAATTTAAATCCTTCCTGTGGGCACTCTGGGCTCTCCACGCCCTGGCCTTTCTGTTCCAGCTTTCCATCTCAGCGCTCCCTTCCATACATTTGAGCCTCTTCTCCAAACACTGTATTGTCCCTCTGGTTCCTCAGCTTCTGTGCCTTTGTAAAGACTGACAAGGCCAGCCTTTCTGCTTAGAATACTTCCACTCCCTCATGGCTGCTTGTCCAAATCGCAGACGTCACCAGTGTTCCTATAAAAGTTCTGCTCTTTTACTGAATCCTCCTTGAGTTTCCAACTTTATGCCCGCTCCTCTTCTGGGTGGTGTGGGCATGGTCAGATATCCTCTCCCAAATTACACTAGCAGCATTAGTGGAAATAACAATAGGAGAAAACAACGAACTTCTCTTCACTCTGGGTTGAAAGTGTTTTACTGGTTGTAGGTCCTTGGCAGTGTCTTGGGAGGGGGGCACTATTATGCCTCTGTTATAGGCCTGGACACCGAGGCTGAGTCCTTGCCCAAGGGCGCAGAGCTAGTAAATGTGAAAGCTGGAATTCAGATGCAAGCAGCTGGATTCTGGCGCCAACAAGCTAAATCCCTAGTCCAGGCAGCCCTTCTCTGTCTGATTTATCTCCGCCTCTGCTGCAGTGTTAAATTCAGCACCTAGTAATCACCCAGAAAGCATTTGGATAAACAGTGAATGATTTATTGTATCTGTATGAAAATGATGGATGGTAACTAAATTTATCATGGCAATCATTTCACAATATGTGTAAGTCTAGCCCTTATGCTGGTTTTTAAAAAACTCATACAGGAATGCATGTCAACTATATCTCAATAAAACTAGGAAAAGAAACCCCCAAAAAACGAAAAGAAAAAAACACAGATTGAAGGGACACAAGTGGGATGAAGAGCAGCCCTTCTTTAGCTCTTGGCTCTCGTGACCGGCGAAGCAGGCCCTCTGCCTGTGCATCAGAGGAGCCCCTTACATAGCACATGCCCCAGTCCTGGGCCTGGAATGAGTTTCCTTTCATAATGTTTGTCCAGTGATAATGTGGACCCATGACAGGGCTAGGGATGTACCTCTACTTCTCACTGTTTGCAATTTTGTTTTGTTTTGCTTTAAATTAATTTAAAAAATTAATTATTAATTCTGGGATAAGCATGCTGCTTTGCAGGATTAGCCTTAATAATTTTTTTAAACATAGTCCCCAAAGCAAGTCATTTATTTCTTTTTTCTTTTCATTTTTAAAGTGGAGAAATGTTAAGAATTTAGGAATGCAGACACAGATGAAATTACAATGCCTTTACAAATGCCAACAAAAATGCTCAGAGTCTGATGAGATTCCCTGTGGCATGAGTTTGTTTAAAAAATCCTGTCAATTCATTTTCTTGTTTTGGTTGGCAGACAGAGGTATTTTAAGTAACCAACTTGGAGCTCTTCACATCTAACCCTCTAGGTATTGCCGGGCAGGTGTCCATAGATGCCAACGGAGACCGGTACGGGGATTATTCCGTGATCGCCATGACCGATGCAGAAGCGGGCACCCAGGAGGTAAGCAAACGAGACTCTGCTCAGCTGCTCCTTCTGCTTATTGAGGTTCCAAGGGATGCATTTGCCCTTGTGTCCATCCCCAGAGCAGTCTCCAAATCAAAATGAGCTGAGAACCCAGGAGTTTCTAAGTAGGGTGGGCTCCCTTCTGGCTGAGGGTATCAGGAAATGGTTCTGTGTTCATCCTCAATGGAGAAAGCCCACTTTGAAGTGGCCAGAAATCACACGTCAGTCCTGAGATAAAGGATGGGATCCTCAGATGAGAGAGGTGAAGTGAAACTATGTATTCATTTCCTGCCTAAAAATTTGAAAAAATGATTTTTTTGGTGAGGGGTGGGATACAAACTGGGCACCTGTTATTATTTCAAAAGATGATAGAATTTCAGAACAGCATTGTGAAGAGAAAAGAGTGCTCTGGACACAAAGATGAGTCTCTGACACCGGGGTGTGTGCTCTCTGCCTCAGTTTCCTCAGCTGTAGTATGGAAATCATAATATTTTCCTTGCTGATCTCACCTGATTATTATGAAACCTAAAAAAGTACCATATAAACTTTAAATGATATCAATAAAGATGATACAAACAAGCAGTCTTTCAGGTCAAATAATGCTGCTTTCTCTGTGCGTCTCTGATGGCTTTCACCCAGGGGTCATGTTCTCATAGCACTCTATGCGGCATAAGGGACTTGATGTTTTTCTCTTAGTACACATATACCTGGCCTTTGTGGGAGGCACTGACTGCAGGACCCAGCACTTGTTAAATTTATGAAATGATTTTGTACCCTTGGAGTGGTCTGGTCTTATCTGTATTCTAGTCTCCCCCTCTGTAAAAAGTGGACAGTAATCATCTATTACAGAGTCACTGGGAGGCTGCAGGAGTCAATGTGTATGATGCATGTGGTAAGTGCTCAGGACATGCAGTGATTGTTGTATTCTGGTGATTATCTAGAACTCTTTTTACTATGACATGAAAAAGCCCCTGAGAGCTTGCTGGTCCTCCTTCTGGGGAGAGGGGAGGAGAGGTCACAGGCCACTCAGGACAAGTGTGCTGGCACTCAGGCCACAGAGAGCTGGATACAGAGAGGCTGAGTGGGAAGGTCCTTCTCCATCAGGGGTTGGGTAGCTGATGAAATAGTCACTGAAGCAAGAAGCTGAGGGTGAACCTTGAATGGAGCCATAAAAGGATACTGATTTCTCAGGGGCCAGAGGAGCCAAGTGGAAAAGAGAGTTCAACCTGGAAAAGGGGGCACAATTAGGGTAAACCCGCCAGAGAGGAGACTACCCCCAGAGTCAGGGATAACCTTCGAACCAGAGGAGGGTGCAACAGGAAGTGGCTAAAAGATATTCGCTAATGCTTTAATTTATGCCAAGCTAACTGGGTAATGAGAGGCTGTGGCCCTGCAGTATGCTTTAGCTGGGTATAAGATGGGCCCTGACCGCCTCTCACACTCCCTGAAAGTCACCTGGGCCTTACAGATGGCCACCATGTGAACTGCTCTGTGGCAGATGGAGGCCCTCTGGCTGAGCCAGGAAAAGCTGTGAGTTCTGAGCTGACTGTCTTCTGTGTAACTGCTTTCCCTGCCACGGGGAGCTGGAGTTCTCCCTATGCTATGCTAGTCTTAAGAGCACTATTGGCAACTGCAAATCTTGACTTGCAAAGTCCTTACAAAGAAACACACCATTTAGTCAGTGTGAACAACAGAGGATCCCACCCTGTGTCTCCTTTGGTAAGAGAAAAACTCTGACCTTTCGCTTTGTATATATCTTTTTGCCTTTATATAGGTTATTGGTGATTACTTTGGAAAAGAAGGTCGTTTTGAAATGCGGCCAAATGTCAAATATCCTTGGGGACCTTTAAAACTGAGAATAGATGAAACCAGAGTGGTGGAGCACACAAACAGCTCTCCTTGCAAATCATGTAAGTTTAGAGACTTAATTTGCTCTGTGTTTCATCTTTCATAGCAACAATATAATGCATGTTATCCAGGAGTTCATGTTCTCCAAATCCATCAGATGTCACTTTCTGATGTGGGAAATGCCAGCCATGGGCACAATTCACGAAATGGCAGCTGGTTTTCTTCAGAAGCTTCTAGGTCTTTCTTCCCTTACATCCCTTTCCAAAGTGGTGGAAGGTTTCTCCCTATTTTTACCTCTCTTCCTATAACCTCTAAGTATGTGAGGTTTCTACTTTTAGGAAAAATCAAAATATCAGATATTAAGTGTCTCTTACTTACGCATCTCTTGTACCAAGTCTTGTTTTGCTTTTTCAGTTTGTAGGTATCCTCCTACCCCTCAGGACCAATACATATCTTTATATATATCTTATAAATTGGCAAGTAAGTGTACAATGTTACTCATGAGCAGCTTTGTCTTAGCCATAGAAGCAAGTGAACATTCTTGTAAGCAGCTTATAAATAGGAAAATTATTGGAAGCTGTTGCTTTGGAGAGAGCCTTTTATGAGCTAGTGAGGGAGAACAAAATGGGTATTGACCTCTCAGGCCAATTGGTTACTTTAGGCTAACAAATGTATGCTCGTTATTTTGAGACCAGCTTTCAAACTGTGAGGTAATTATGTATATGCGAGAACTACAGGGAAGAGGAAGGAAGGCAGAAGTGTGTTAAGAACACAGTCTCTGGAGTTCTTGGGCCCAGCTTTGAAAGCCCACCCATGCCACTTACTGGTTTTATGACCCTGAGAGTGTTCTTTCACCTTCTTAAATCTTGGTTTTCCCACATGTGAAATGAAAGAAATGTACCCAATGCTCAGGTTTGTTTTGAAGGTTAAGTGAGATAGTGCATTAAAGGCTGTAACTAAACTTTTTATATAAAGCTGGCTTTTTGTCTTTTTTATATAATAACTGGGACACTGCTGAACTTGATTATTTCAAATTGTTCACATTTTCACAAAGCTATATAGGACATTTTGACATGAAGCTCTGGCTCTGGTGAGAGAACATCTAAAAACAGAACATTAACCCAATGAATTTTTCACCCAATCTTCCAGCACTTTGAAGTGTCACCATCCATCTGTGAAAAGGAGAAGTGCTGGAAGACAACTGGACAGACTTGTCCCATCATCTGTCCAGTTATCTTCTCCAACTATGAACTCAAAAGAGTGTGGATGCCTCCAAAAACTTCAGTTTCCACTGTTGCTCAAACCCTCCCTGAGCCTGCTTGATTCCCATTGTGCTCACTCTCTGCAGCAGGGAGTTCGTTTGCCTAGCATTTTCTTAAGTGCGTCTTAAGCTTTGTGCTTGGCAAAAAAAGAAAGTCCCCTAGTATATCTTTCTTAAAAAGAAAGGAAAATTTGACTCAAGTGAGAAACTGACAAACACCTTCCAGTGAATGAAACTTAAGGCATTTCTACTGTTCCTCAAAATGAACTCTGATTATCTGTTTCTTTTTCAAGCAGGTGGCCTAGAAGAATCGGCAGTGACAGGAATTGTTGTGGGGGCCTTATTAGGAGCTGGTTTGCTAATGGCCTTCTACTTTTTCAGGTGGGCTTCACTTCATAAAGTTTTAAAATTCATTCTCCGCTGTTGCTTGATCAGTTGCCTTCGCACATCCTCTCCTTCACTTGTCCACAGCTTGTTCTTACCTCCAAAGCATGATGGGTAAAAGAACTAAGCCATTCTTTTAGAACAGCCCTGGGTGTGGTGGTCAGTGGGTTGCAGAATGGGGACTGGGTCAGGGCTCCTGTTGCATCCCTCTGTAGGCCACTGAACCCCTGCCATCCTTTGATCACAGGTATTCTGACCCAAATTCCTGCCACCCATCAAATGCATAAGTGGAAAGGGAACCTGGTCAAAGGGGAGATCCATCTCCTCATTTTTAAGCTTTGTGCAATTCAGAAATAGGTGCCTGGGTTCAGCTTTTGAAGAGGAGGAGGGAGCTCGGAGTAGTCCATACACCCCAGGCTCATCTGTGCTCGGGACCTGGAGAACCCACATGCTTGGTGGCCACTGTGGTTGAGCACCAAGGCTTATAAAATCGTAATATTTATGTGTCATTCAAGATACTGATGGTTTCATCTCATGAGGGTGGGCCATTCCTTTGTATGTTTGGTGGTTGAATTTGTGGCTTTTTCTCAAGTCATTAGACCAAGATTTCTTCATTTCTGCATGGAAATAAAACTCTGGGTATATGTGGCTCTTTGTGGGAACAGTTGATCGCTGTCACAGTACACTGACTCTGATCTTTATCTCGGGCATATCCTGGGAGTCAGGGAGAGCTTCTGTGTAGTAGAGACAAGCCTTTAACCCACAAGGCACCCAGGGAAGAAGGGGGAGACTTGTTCTATGGCATTTCAGAAAGCATGCCAATTTTCCTCCTTGAATAAGGGCATAATGCCTTGGGGCACACTACTTTAATCTCTGACCAGGGTTTCACATTCTGTCAGTCCTCATTTATCAGCACAAACCCAGATGTCCCTTGAGGGCATTCTTTGTAAGAGAAACCATAGTATTTTGTAGCCAAGTGAGGTTTTATTACTACATTCACTTTCCCTTTACCCAGGAAGAAATACAGAATAACCATTGAGAGACGAAGCCAGCAAGAAGAAAGTAACGTTGGAAAACATCGGGAGTTACGGGAAGATTCCATCAGATCCCATTTTTCGGTGGCTTAAAAGGAAACCTTTTCTTTTGGCCTGAGATTCTTTAAGGAGATAGATGGGATGAAAGACATCAATGGAACTGAAGGGGCGCTCTTAAAGAACCCATTCTTTTAAGCAGTTAGTCATTTCATTGTAAAATTTCTTTAGAAGCTCAGGAACTATTATTAATCACCATATGCCTCCCGGCCTTTCATCTCATGACAAACAAATATGAGAATATAATGTCACTCTGTGAAAGGGAGTATGTTTCAAGGGCATATGATTCAATTTATGTTTTGAAAATCAGATGTCTCCATATCTTGATGAAGTTTGGGGGCATTTCACACAAGGCTATAAAATACAGTTTTCTTAAATGAAATATTTTATAGCTAGAATAAAATCATCTTTACAAGTAGAATATTCTTGGAAAGAATTTAACACCCAAGAAGAGGAAAATGTAATGAAAAAAATCTCCCTGTTGGAAATACAGCGTTCCTTTCTCTACCGCTGGTGGACAGATTTGAGGTTGAGGACTGGTCTGTCCAAAGGTAAACATTAAGTCCTGACTCCATATCTTGAAAAAGGATTTTTTCCCTGTCTCCTTCTGTGTCTTCTAAAAGCTACTCTGGAAAGTTGTAACTATTAATGAGCTAAGAGGATTTACACAAGGAAAGCAAATCAAAAATGTTTCATTTTTTATTGTAAACACACCCCCCAATTTCACACTAACATTTGATTTTTAACTATTTTAATCTTGTATTTTGCCATTACAGAATGTGTCTATTTTTTCATTTTAAAGATTAAATTTCACTATATTTTAAAAGCATGTGTAAAGTGTGCAACAAACCAACAATAATGAAAGTTGCTTCTTTTTCTAGCTGTTTCCCTCTTCCATTTGGCTATAGCCAACTGCTAACTGCTGCTTTAGTTACAGAGATCCAGAAATGTATTCAGATTACAGACTCTTTAGGAGTACATCAGTTTACCTGTTCTTTATGCAAGTTATTTTAGGGACAGACCCCTTCCAGTTCTGGCCAAATGATGAGCTTCAAAATCAAGGATGAAATGTACTGGAATTCAGTACGTTTTTATAAAAGGAGGCAGCCTTTTCCTCTCAATCACAACTTTATAATAGATAATTAGAACTTGACAGGAAGCACAGAAATGATAAACTTAAAAAATGCATACATGACATTTTACCAAAATTCACAGTGATGATTTTGGCTCAAAAAGAGGGAATCTAAATAGCTACTGTATTCCCTCTTAGTGGAGTCCACAGAGCTTTGTAGTCATCCATTCATAACCGGTGTAACAGTGGGTTGGGTGTGGATGCAAAGACTTTGTACAAAGCTGAATTAGTATTTACCGAATATGTACTTTGCACCCCATACCATGTGCATAGGTTTAAACTCAGGTCACCACTTTTGTTTGTAATGTATTGGAGAAAATAGTGAGGGAAGAGTGGGAAGTTGCTGGGTTAATGTACCATTGTTGAATTATGGATCTTTCTCAATAACATTTGGAGCATCTGGAAAAAAAGCTTTAAAAATTATCTTACTGTGTATAAAAGACAATGTAACGGGAGGAAGATAGGGGAGTTTGAGCACTTCCTCGGTGATGGAGGTTGCAGTAGTTCACACGGGTAATGGTGGAGGCAGGTGAGCGGAAGCTGTGTGCGCATGTTGGAAGGTGGCCGGAGTTCTCTCCCCTAGGGGAGTCTGCCTCTGTCACTCCTGCTCCAACCAGCCAAAGTGAACAGATTGTTTCTGTGTGAGGCACAATTTCCCTCTGTTGTTTTAAAAATGGGATTCAGGCAGCTGGAGAGCATGGTAAAAGAATGAACTATGATCAGCTGAAACAGCAATGTTGTAATTCTTCATGCTGGATGCAAAGGAAAAAGTTCTGAATTCAAAACAGGATGGAAAAAGAAGGCAGGAGAGGCAAGCTCAGAAATTCTAATGCAGAAAGAAAATTTGGGAAGGAAAATCTAGGAAACCGAAATGTTTCACAGCTTGAGTCCTCCATCTTATTTTCATTATGTCTCTCTCATATTTTTCAATGATGTTTTCAATATCTTTTAGAGATATTCATCTTCTATTATCTTGTGTTTGTAAAAATCATTTAAATTTCAAGCCCATGTTCTTATTACAGGTGGGAGTGGGGGGAGAATTACACTACCTGGTTGCAGTCTCTGGGTATAAACATTTCTAACCTGTCTAGAATTTACATAAAACCCATTAACTCTAATATTTTTACAGCCAATACTTTTATTTCTACTTAAGGTAGAGGAATAGTTGTAAACTTGATATTATAGCCCCAGATAAAATCATTAAAATAAATGAGATTGTAGTCTTTTAAGAATGGTAGAACAAATCGTGGGGATTCTTATAACGTGGATGCCAGTCTCTTTCAATCTTAAAGCAGTTCTAGGTTCTTAAGATTGATTGCTTATTTGCATGTTTGTTGTCCATTCTTTCTTCCTTGAATTCATCATATGAAATTACCAAAACTCCTTGAAATCTTCAAAACTCCATTAAGTTGGAAACCTTTGCTTAAAGTGTAAGTGTTTGGCCCAAGATTACCCTGGGTTAAGACCCCTGGAGACTATAATTTGAGATTTAAGTTCCTAGCTGCTAAACAGCGTCTTTGACAACTAGTCCTTCACATTCTGCCAGTAGTCACTTATCACACACAAACGTAAATTGGGCTTTAGTTCTTAAGTCATCCTATAAGTTTTAACCCTGAAATCCAGAGTGTTCAGAGTTCAAAAGGGATATTTGATCAGTATTTTCTCCTCTGGCCAAACATAAGTGACACCGATACAGGTCAAAATGAATATATACATTTTATATACACTCATGGTGTTGGAAATAAGTAGAGATTTTTTGGTGATCATTGTTACCTTCTTAGATTGTTTTTCCTGGACTCAGAAATAGTAGCTTTCTCCAGATGATCTCTTCTATTCAGAAAGAACTTTCTGTATAGAGCTCATGTCTTCCCCCCAACTGACCACAGGTTCCACAAAGAAGTCCCTGTAAACATTGCATTGCTCAGAAGAACCATCAACTTGCCCTTTTCTGAACCATAGACTTGCTTCCATGGCTTTAAACTAGGTGTTTACATTGCAGAAGCCAGATTTAATGGAGGGAGGGGAGAAATGCATAGAAAGAGAGTGCCTCCTTTCTCCCCTTCCTTAAATTCTTTTGCTTTGGAAGGTCCAGTTCCTTTTCCCTGTTCACAGGCTTCTAGGATTGTTAACTTATTCAAGGCACCAGTGCCCTCTTTGCCCTTAATGTACCACTTTCTTTCTGATTTTAGGAGTGTAAGATATGCCTCTGGCAGTGAAATTAAGGCCATTGTATAGACCCCACACAGATGATCATAGGAATTCAGCAGGTAGGTTCCAGTGGCATCGCCACCTTCTTGTGAATACGTAAGGGACTGTTTAGAAACTGAAAAGAACACATACCTATGCTTCTCGGAACACAGAGAACTCAGACCCTGAGTGGGTGTAGTTAAAAAGCCTAAAGCCAGTCAAAATTAGGCTCCCTGATCGATGTTTCATGGGTTTCGTTTAGTTATGACCTGTTGGTCTGTGCTTCAGGAGGAAGCTGAAAATGAGCTGAATTTCTTCTTTGGTGGAGTAAAATGAAGCTGTCTAAAAACACAATATGTTTTGAGGACAGTGTGGAAGCATAGAGAACAAGGTGGTGCTGTTAGGAAGGCTCTGTTTCTTTTTCAGTTGATCTTTAGAACTGCAGAATAACCAGTAATTTAGTCCTCTTTAACAGCCAGAGTCAGACTCAGTAAAAAGCTTGGGACACACCCTGCAAGAATGGGGAGCCTGATCCTCCAAAACAAACAGAAGAGTAGTGTAGCAAGCTGCCACTGTCTTTACTACCGCACCCACCTCACCCCCACCTGCGCCCCAACCATCCCTCATGGCTACAGAGACACCTTCGCACCTTGCCGGTGCAGGTAGAAGCTTGTGAGTAGGACCTTCATATTCCTCAGAGGGAAAGAAGACAAAACCGTGCTGGCTGTAAGAATGTAGCTGCTTTTTTGATCAGAACACTTACGGTAACTTGACCACACATGCCCCTGGGGCAGTTCAAGCCTGTGATGTGCATTTATTCCAGTCAGCCTGACTTTGGTTTTCCACAAGAAGATCTCTCGAATATCTATTGCAGGCACACTCCACAGCTAGACTCTAGGATTAAAATGCCTCTCAAAAGGTGCTGGATTGGAGTTCGTTCAAATTTTTCATTAACCACTAATGTTAATTTATACCAAAGGCAAAGCAGTTCTAAACCAGCTGATACTGTTAATGGCCATGTTTTAAGCTACGTCAAACACAGGGAAAGGGCTTCAATGGGAGCTGAGTCTCAGAAGTAAAAATCCGTATGTTATAATAGCTCTTTGATGTATAAAGTGTGGGATGATTCCTAGGGGAGAGATTTGAATGAGCAGAATTAAGTTAGCAAAAATTCTGTGTTGCTTGAGTTCACATGTTGAAAAGACCCAGATTGCTATGCACAAGGAATAAAGGGTCCTTTCACCAAGTGTAAGTCACAACATAGACTACCAAACTGTTTTTTATTTGCTAGGAGAACAAAGCTGTCATAGCACATAATAATTGGGCAGAGAATGTTGAGGAAGAGGAAAATTTGAATTTTGAAACAGGATCTCTTATTTAATAATCAGTGCCAAGGTTTGAAAAAGTTCAGTGTTTTGTGTCTTACTTACAAGGCAGCAATGAGATGCCCTCGACACCCTGGAGATGCTCTGAATTTGCAGACCTGGGAATCTGAGTCCTGGGAATCTGAGCTTTGCTCCCTGTGCACAGTGAATAACTGGAACCAGGAGCATGTGGAATAGATACTGTGGAGAATTACTTCTGCGGCCCTTGCCTTCTGGGCCACATCATTCATTGTTTATTTAAATACACGACTACCAAACGATACATGAATTTGGTAGAAAGGTAAAGTAAAAGCTGCACAAGCTATACAATTTATTATTCTAATGTAAGTAGAACTATCTGCATATAATGTGATTTAATTTATTGTTATTTTATGTAGAAAATGAGAATTAATGACTGTGGATATAACCCTTGTTTTGTATAATATATTCTGTTTCTGGTGCAAACAGGTCATTTAAACTATCTACTTCATTTGGTGTTTGGATATAAATGTGTATGTGTTCTTGTAAATGTTTCTATTAAGCAAGAATGCCACATGCTCACAGTGTAACAATGTGTTCTCATTAAAAATACATCCCACAGAAACCTTTTCCTGTTTATAATTCAGCCAACATACACTGCACATACCCATATAATCTGAGGACTTTCTGTTCTCCTAGGACGAGTTTAAGTAAAAGATTAATTAGTGGATGTGATGCATTTGTACTGCTGGAATGGTACCCATGAAAGAACTCTGCCCAGCAAAGGAATATTTGCAGAAATAGGAAAAGGATGTATTATTAACATGAGTTGAGGCAGGTAAGGGAAGAAATCTTCAGTAACTAATATAACCTTGAGTACAGCTTGAGAACACCACATAGTTACACAGTTGGCCTTACTGATTCATATTATGACGTCCTTTGCCCACTTCAAAGAGGTCCTAAGTTGGTTTGTCATTCCAAAGAGCTGCTCAGGTTCTGGCATACCCAGCAGGCTAACCAGCCCGAAGCATCTTCAGTTGTCTCAGAGTTGTAAAAATGCATAGTGAGGTCCCCTGGCAATACCGCACATGCCACTCACACTGGGTGCCTGTGTCCAAGAAGATTCCGCAGTGGGATGCTGATTCAGGGCTTGGAGGTGGAGTGGTGGTGAGGGGATGGGGGTTGGGGGCACGGCAGGGAGGAAGGGTGGGGCCAGGAAGCCTCTGGGAAACATGGGGTGTCTTAGTCCACTTGGGCTGCTGTAACAAAATACAGCAGCCTGGGGGCTTAGACAGCAGACATCTATCACAGTGATGGAGGCTGGAAGTCCCAGATCAAGGTGCCAGCCCATTTGGTTCCTGGTGAGGGCCTTCTCCCTGGCTGGTAGACAAATGCTTATGCAGCAACTCAAAAATTGCAGCTTTTTTTCCCATTTCAAGATAAGGATGCAGAGGGAGATAGAGATGGGGAAGGGAGGGAGAGAGGAAGGGGCTCTCTGGTGTCTCTTCTTATAAGGACACTGATCCTATAAGGTCAGGGCCCGGGCTTTATGACCTCATTTAACCTTAATTATTTCTTTAGAAGCTCATCTCCAAATATAGCTACACGGAGTGTTTGGATTTCAATATCTCCATAGGGGGAGTACAGATATTCAGTCCGTAACAGAGTATTCCCACTACTTTCCCCTGTCACTTTGGGGACTGTGGCCTCCTGGAATCTTTCCATTCCATGTCTTACCTCCTCATCCCCTCTGAACTTCTTCATGTGTACTTGATATCCCACCATAGGCCAAAGATCCCCATGACTGGCTAGTAGGGGGCTGCCCCCTGGAGGAGTCCTACAGAGCCCCAAACACCACCGATGGGGGGCTCTGCCCTAACCCTAAATCACGGGCTCCTGGCTTTGACAGAAATAGCAAGTATTATTAGGAGAGCTACCCTTAGCTGTGTGTCTTTAAAAAAATAGCAGTTGAATAAATCATCTATTAGCACAAAACTAGAACCAAGAAAAATAATTCTTTTGCAGGCTTTGTGCAGCCTGACAACCATTAGCCATTGAAGCTCTGTCATTGCCATTCCATAGATGAGGACGCCCACTCCTGAGCCAGTTTATGGCCTGGCTCTGCAACTTGCCGCTGTCATCCTGTGTGAAAATGAGGATGATAATAGTCCCAGTCTCACCTGGCTGCTGTGCGGACTTCAAACTTAGAATCCTTCCTGGCACATAGTAGTGAAGCATTCAATAGAATATTTATTATATCCCCCATCTCCTTGGATAAGGAGACAAAACCCTCAGCTGGTCATTGTTTAGGTCTTTCAAGACTCTTTGGCTTGATGACCAGCAGTCCTGCCCTCTAGGAGGATGAGATGAGTGACATTGAAGAGGAAGAAGTATCTTTTCCATACACTGTCCTCCTCCCAGAGGGTCCAGACATAGGCCAAGAGTGGGGGCCAGTAGGGGCCCCATTGCCTCGGAAGTGCTTAGAGGGCCAGAGCAGTTTCATTCAAATCTGTTTTTCCCTTGAGGCGAAGGGGTCACCATTGGGCTAGCATGTCCCATCAGCTGCACCCCTGCTTCCATGCCCGTGGCTGACGTGGCCCTAGGAGTCCCTCCCTGCTCCCTGGACTTTATTCCCCTGGGACAGTGAGCCTCGCAGCTGTGATCAGTCAGGGCAGTGCCTGCCTACCTACTACAAAAAGGACTCCCTTCTGTCTCACCAGTGGCTGTCCTCAGCCTAGGTCTCCCCTGAGAATACTGGGATTTCTGTCCCAAATGTGACAGTGGCACCTAAGAAAGATTTAGTGGGCGAGGGGATTTCTCTGTGCCGACAAAAGGGAGTTCTTATTCTCCCTGCTAGCTCAATGGGCCAAGAGAGACTAGGCACCATGCAGTCCGGTGGAAAATGACTGCATCAAAGTCACAAGGTTCCTGGCACTTAGAGGGCCTTATTGCCCCAGGCCCAGGGACACCAGAGGCGTGGATGGACAAGAGGACTACCAGGAGGGCCTCAGATAGTTCTGAATGAGGACCCCATAAGGCAGGTCTGGGGGGCTGCACTCCAGGCCATGCCACCCCCTGCCATCCCTTAGTGTGGTGGCTGGTGCTGGGTACCTGCTGGCAGGGGTTCCATGGAATGCTTGAGAAGAAACAGCTGTGTGTGAGACCCATGTTCCCCCAGAAGGAGTGTCTTGGGTGATGTAATAGGTATTTTGTGTTTTCAGGCAAGAATCTAGCAAGAGAGCTGTATCTAAATAGTATTCAGCACCTGGTATCTTAGCCATATACCACTTGATGACTCTTCTTAGCATTTTATTCAGAAGGAAATGAGGAATGAGCAAGAGTGTGTGCCCTTGTCAATTCAACAACAGTAGCTCAAGAAGAGCGCCCTACATGCCAAGAATGGGCTATGCACCTTAAATATGTTAATTTATTAAACCGTTACATGGTTACCCTGTGCCATACCTGTGAAGTAGGCCTGTGGTCATCTTCATCACTTTACAGGCATGCAAACTGAGGCACAAAGAGGTGAAGTAGATTGCCCAAGGCCCTCCAGCGGCCAGTGGCCGAGCTGGGGTTTGAAGTCAGGCTGCTGCTTCTACACAACCATGGCCAACTACTTAACCCAGTAGAGTGGTTATCATCCGTCTTCTCAGAGTAGACCTCGCCTCCTTTTCATTACATCCCACATCCAATCTGATTTCCATCCATATCGTCCTCTCCATTTTCACTGCCACAGAACAAGGCCTTTATCACTGTCAGAGTAGCAGGGAGTAGTCTCTTAACTCTTCCTATTTCGAAGCTCTCCTCTTGTTCTCATTTTTCTCACCACCGCCATGCCTAAAATGCTGCTTTGATAAGGCTGCTCTCTCGGTCAACGACCTTTAATGACCTCCCTTCCTCACAGGTCAGATTCCATATTCTGTGCCTGGGGTTCACAGCCCTACAGCTGCAGTCTTGCTTCAAACTGCCTGATCATTCACTGTTCCTTTGGTCAAGTTGAATTGTGCTGAGTGTGATTTACCCAGGCTGATGTACTTGTCATCCACTCAGTGCCCTGCACCTGCCTGCCTGCAACTTTCTCTTTCTACTCTTCCTCCTGCCAGGAAAACCCTTTGATTTCTAATCGGGTCTGTCCTTTCTAAATGGTTCCTCTGCAGGCTTCCCTGCCCATCCCAGCTTCAAATGTGCTCTATCTTACTTTATGGCATTGTTGTCTCCATGGTTATGAATGGGTGGTCTGCATACACATTTTGTTTGGCTGGCCAGTGTTTACAAAAGGAAAGAAGGAATCTGAATGCCTTTGATGGGGCAAATGCTCTCCTATTTGTCAGAACCCTCCCTCCTGATATTCTTATGTCCAGCTTTTCTTACAATTCACTTTAGGGCTTTGGAGCTTGCAAACTCTGTTAAGTGGGCAATTGCATAGAGCTTTGTACCATCTCTTCTTCCTGCTGCCTTGTCCTTCCGCTGTCATAACTTCCAAGCCTCTGGTCTTCAGAGAATTCCCTGACACTTTAGATTTGTCTCTCTCCCTTAGCTTCTTTGTCAGGTGCTAAGGATTTCAAAATAAAATATTTCTCACACAGAAGAATTATTACTCTAAGAAACTCCATATAGTTCTTGTAATGTTAATATGCACTTCACAATGTTTCTGCTTTGTGAAATATTCTTAAAAGTATCCCTCCTATTCTTAACTGGCTTGCTCAAATCCCTGCTTTTCTGCTCATGGGCTGTGAGGCCTTTCTTACTCAGTTTCTTCCTTTGCACAATCAGGAGAATAAAAACCACTTTGTAGGGTTCAAGTGGTGCTTGATATACAGCAGAAGCTCAATAAATGGGAGCTGTTATTATTTTCATGAGACCGCCTTACTTATTAGCACTTCAAATTCTTGGGTTCTTGGTATCAAGCCTGACCTAAAACGAAGGCCCTGGGGTCCCTTTTGCATGTGACCTTGTGGTGGATATGCACCCTTCTAATCCTGATCACCATTTCCTAGATAAGCCCCCAAGGTATGCACAGGAATAGGGGTGTGAGATTCCTGGCACACAGTGGTAATAGTGGGTTATTTCTTTCATGTTTTTGACAGAATAAAAAATGGTATATAGTAGCTGAAATTCATGAAGTCCATCAGTCTAGAAACAGTGTGTTAAGCTGTTGTCTGACGGGATTACACAGTGTCTGTCTGTTCATTTCCTGCTGCTGAGAACATACCTTGTTTTTGGGGCCAGCCTCCCTCTTTTGTATCTCAGTGGTTTAGAGATAAGATCTCTGTTCAGTAAATCCCTGCGGACTGAGTCTTTTAAGGGTCACCCAAAACCTGTGTCCCAGCCCAGGTTCCCAAGAGTTTATCTTTGTCCTCTTTTGACAGATCTCTCACATTCTGACTAGTTAAGTGATTAGCCTTCTCTAAACTGAAACTGTTGGCAAAACAGAAGTCCCAACCCGCTGCTCTTTCCTTCAAAGGTTTTCATAGCTGTTTCTCCAAACCAGCCTCCAATGGTGAACTTTTAGTTACATTTACAAGCAGCTTCTATAGCGAAACTGATCACTACTTAGAGGCATATTATAAGAACAATGATAGTGTTAATAATGTGAGGACACATTAGAGACTTCTACTTTGTGTC